TTCTTACGTAGTATTTTTACTATGATCTCCATACCTGCACAAGTAAGTTTTGCATATCTTGGTTTACTTCTTCATTTCAGTCTATCAGTGAATTTTTCTAAATAGAAGTGCTCTCTAAATGGTTAAAGGTGTTTTACTTCCCTCTCTTCATCAACAGATGGGAGCTATTATCAAACAGCCGTCACTTATAGTTAATGTAATAGCAGGGAAAACTTTCACAATGAATATATCTTGTTTTAAGAAATCTTTTCATTACTTTTTTATGTCAAGATATGCAAAAACCTGTTCATAAATGATGATTATTACATTCATATATACATGAAAAAGAATGGTAGTGTCTTAATATTTTCAGACAGTGATATTTGATCTATTATGGACTCAAATCCCATTAAATTAAACTCCATGAGGTTAAGGACTATATTCTGTATTTAGTGTAGTACGTGACATATAGTAAGTGTTGGAAGCATATTTTTTTAAATGATTTAAAAAATGCATTAGAAAGAAAGAATGATATGAATCATATGTAAGAGGCAGGTGAAGGAACAAGATAGAGAAGGGAGTTATATTAGAGAATAAGACATATATGGATGATTTAAATCAATATGTTCTGCTTTTGAATAATTGAAAGTTCGATAAAACCTCATTAATTATAATTCCCAATTTATATTCTTATGGGATCATTCAGTTTGAGGCCTGCTGGTATTTTAATTTTGCACTATTTATGAAGTCTTAAATATACTAATAAGATAAAATTAATTTAAGAAGTTTACAACTACTCTTGGGGCAAACTTTTTAAGGACTTCAAGTTAAATTATTAAATGACAATGAATGCCACAAATTGTCCATGTCATACTTTCACTAAAATCAGTTCAAAGATATCTCCATGCAAATTGTACACTTTCTCTGAGGATCATAGAGTCTTTGGATTTCCTTTAGTTCAGCATCCTACCATAATCACTACCACATCATTACCACTCTCATCATCATTATTATTATGATATGTATTGTTTTTAGCAATGTCATCAATGCCATTAACATAGTGTCTCCTATTAGCAGGCTTTGACTGTTCACAACATCTCTGTGAAGTATGTAAATCTCCAAAATTTCTTAGCTACTGTAACTAATCCTTTAGAGATTAAGATGCCACAGAACTATGGCAAATCAAAATTTTAACCTGATTCTATATTGACTGCCCGAAATACCAAAACAAAACCCAACTGATAGACAAAATTAAATGTATTATACTTATTGTAGTAAAGAAGAATACCACCTTTACTGAGTTTATTCATTTCCTAGGCCTGAATAATAAAGCATTAGAGATTGAGTGACTTAAACAACATAAATATATTGTCTTGACAGTTCAAGGTGTTATCAGAGTTAGTTTCTTCTGAAGTCTGTGACAGAAAATCGATTCCAAGTCTCTTGCCTAGCTTCTGGTGCTTTTGGGGCACTCTTTGTATTTCTTTGGCTTGTAGACACATAGCTCCAATCTCTGCCTTCATGTTCACATGGCTTACTCCCTGTGTACAAATTTGTCTCTAAATTTCCTTTTTTATATAATGACACTAATCATATTGTGGTAGGGACCCACTTTACTTCTATATAACATTCTAATTTAATTATATATGCAATGACTTATTTCCCAATCAGATCATGTTCTGAGGTACTAAAGGCTAGGACTTCAACATATGAGTTATTCAACCCGTAACAGAGAATCTTAGTAGTCTCTTAGAATGGGGTGGGGGAGGTTAGAAGAGAGCATTTATGATTTATTTTAAGCCTCAGTTGTGTGGTTTTATGGCAGGTTTTAAAAAGTGGAGTGCTGGTTGGAACTGGGCAGTTTCTAAAATTAGTTTTAGAATGGCAAGCAAAATGAGGAGAGGAGCATAAACAAGTCTTGATAAATAAGCTATTAGTCTTGATAGGTAAACTCTTTGGTTGATTCGTGGTCTTATCCAAAAATGCATATATGCTAGAGCAAACAACTAAATAACTTTAAAAAAATCATAGTTTTGTTCAAAATAAGGAGTGAAGAATATGCTTGATCACAGAATTATTTAACATATAGAGACTTTTAATTATGTTGGTTTCACTTCTCATCTGTATGGTTTCTGAGTCTATCAACTATATCATCCTAACTTTCTTTCCCACCATTGATAGATTCCAAAGTAATTTGTTCTACTGCTGGATTGACCTAATAAATAGTTTTAACAGAATTCAAATAAAATTTGTTACCCTATGTGGTCATTATTGGTATAGACTAGATTTAATCTCATTCCCATGATATAAAATTTGAAAAACTTACCTATCTACCATCTTGCTTTTTTCTATCTATCATCTCCATAAGTACTTATAACCTGTCCTAAGACATATTTTTTTTCTATACAAGTAACTATAGTTACTTCAGGTTTTCAAATAAAACTTATATGTAGATAATAATAATTTCATAATATACTTACAATGTTAACAACTACAAGAGCATTGAGGTAGTGTCTTAGCTGCTATAACAATTTCAGTTGCTATAACAAAATATCAGAGACTGAGTGGCTTATAAACAACAGAAATTTATTTCTCAAGTTCTGGAGGCTGGAAGTTCAAGATTAGAGTGCCAGCATGGTTGGGTAGTATCACTATGAACAAAGCTGGTGGAGGTGTTGGAATTCCATTTGAACTATTTCAAATCCTAAAAGATGATGCTGTGAAAGTGCTGCACTCAATATGCCAGCAAATTTGGAAAACTCAGCAGTGGCCACAGGACTGGAAAAGATCAGTCTTTATTCCAATCCCTAAGAAAGGTAACGTCAAATAATGCTCAAATCGCACAGTTGCGCTCATCTCACACCCTAGTAAAGTAATGTTCAAAATTCTCCAAGCCAGGCTTCAACAATACGTGAACCATGAACAACCAGATTTTCAACCTGGTTTTAGAAAAGGCAGAGAAACCAGAGGTGAAATTGCCAACATCTGTTGGATCATCGAAAAAGCAAGAGAGTTCCAGAAAAACATTATTTCTGCTTCATTGACTATGCCAAAGACTTTGACTGTGTGGATAACCACAAACTGTGGAAAATTCTTAAAGAGATGGGAATACCAGAGTACCTGACCTGCCTCTTGAGAAAGCTGTATGCAGGTCAGGAAGCAACAGTTAGAACTGGACATAGAACAACAGACTGGTTCCAAATCAGGAAAGGAGTACCTCAAGGCTGTATATTGCCACCCTGCTTATTTAACTTATATGCAGAGAACATCATGAGATACGCTGCGCTGGGAGAAGCACAAACTGGAATCAAGATTGCCGGGAGAAATATCAATAACCTCAATAGGCAGATGACACCACCCTTATGGCAGAAAGTGAGGAAGAACTAAAGAGCCTCTTGATGAAAGTGAAAGAGGAGAGTGAAAAAGTTGGCTTAAAGCTCAACAGGCAGAAAACTAAGATCATAGCATCTGGTCCCATCACTTCATAGCAAATAGATGGGAAAACAGTGGAAACAGTGTCCGACTTTATTTTTTGGGGGGCTCCAAAATCACTGCAAATGGTGATTGCAGCCATGCAATTAAAAGACGCTTACTCCTTGGAAGGAAAGTTATGACCAACCTAGACAGCATATTAAAAAGCAGAGACATTACTTTGTCAACAAAGGTCCGTCTAGTCAAGGCTATGTTTTTTCTAGTAGTCAAATATGGATGTGAGAGTTGGATTATAAAGAAAGCTTTGCACCAAAGAATTGATGCTTTTGAACTGTGGTGTTGGAGAACACTCTTGAGAATCCCCTGGACTGCAAGGACATCCAATCAGCCCATCCTGAAGGAGATAAGTCCTGGGTGTTCATTGGAAGGACTGATGTTGAAGCTGAAACTCCAATATTTTGGCCATCTGATATGAAGAGCTGACTCATTTGTAAAGACCCTGATGCAAGGAAAGATTAAGGGCAGAAGAAGGGGCGACAGAAGATGAGATGATTGGATGGCATCACCGACTCAATGGACATGAGTTCGATTAAACTCCAGGAGTTGTTGATGTATAGGAAGTCCTGGCTTGCTGAATTCCATGGGGTCACAAAGAGTCGGACACGACTGAGTGACTGAACTGAACTGAACTGAACAGATGGTCAGTAAAGGCCCTCTTCCAGGTGGCAGAATTCTTGTTTTATCTCATATAAAGGACTAAGGAGCTCTGTGAGGTCTCTTTTATAAGGACACTAATCCCAATTATGAGAAGAGAATCCTCATGATCTAATCACATCATTAAGGCCCCACCTCCTAATACTGTTACTTTGGAGATTAGTATTTCAGCATATGAATTGGGGGAAGGGCAATAAATATTTAGACCATAATGGACTATCAGCACCCTATGACTTCTTGCAATCTGAATTTTATCTATACCTGCAAGTACAAAATAATTAATACAGTATCTTGATTTATTTCAACCATCTTAACTCTAAGTGTCTCATACAGCATCTTATACATTATCGGCAACACATAACCTCATGAGTTCATTCTATCTAAAATATATCTTACTATAGTTTTGAAGTTTTGCAATATTTATAATATTATGCACCTTGTTGCCAAGACTTTGTTTCATTCAAAAGCATTCCATTCTACTACCCTTTCAGCATAGAATTTAATGCTTGCTTAAAGAATTAAATTGCAAAACCATATCTGAAAGGGGTTTCAGATATGGTTTTGCAGTCAAGGTATCTTACTCTGTAATAAGTTTGCAATTCGTCCCCCACCCCTTTTTATGAAATGCAAATAATGATATTTTCTGGGGAAGAAAACATCCTTTGATAAATACAAATAATGTTGAGTTATAGAATCTGCTTATTTTAGTTTATGATTATCTCATGATTAATTAGATTGGTAGAATGAAACTCAACAGTCAAAAGAAATCTTGATGAAATTTAGAGTCTTTTTGTGGCTTTAAAGAAAATCCAGTAAGCACTTGAAAAACAAAATCAATGAAGAGTTTAAAATGCTTATTTTCTGGTTTTCCACAGGGTCCAAGTTTTCTCTCTGAGGCTCTTTTTCCTAAACATGCAACAAAAATTGAAGAAATGGATCCTTTTTTCAATCTTCATGAGACCATTACCAAGGTAAGAGAGGAATGTATTCATGAAAAAGTTGAGGTTTTGTTCTTTCAGTTAGAAAATGGAGGAAAGGAAAATAGCCATTCAAGAGAATCTATATATATTCATTTTTAGAGTATACTAGAAAGGATTTTAAGTATCTCCTATTATTTTACTATGGAATAAAGATAAGCAGTTCTATCAAGATCAAACAGACCAATAACTGATGATTATATTAAAAAATCAATTCTTTTTCTAATTGAGGTATAGTTGATGCAGTATTATGTAAGTTATAGGTATACAATAGTAATTCAAATTTTTAAAGAGTTTACTCTCTTTATGGTTGTTATAAAATATGGGTTATATTCCTTGTGTTATACAATACATCCTTGTAGCTTATTTTATACATTAAAGTTTGTATCTTGTACTTCCCTGCCCTTTTATCTCCCTTCCCAGTTCCTTCTCCCCACTGGTAATCACTAGTTTGTTCTCTATATCTGTGAGTTAACTTCTTTTTTGAATTCACTAGCTTGGTGTATTTTTTCAATTCCACATATAAATGATATATAGTGTTCATCTTTTCCTGTCTGATGTACCTCACTTAGCACAATGTCCTACAAGTCCAGCGATGTTGATGCAAATAGCAAAATTTTATTCTTTCTGTGTGGTTGAGTAGTATCTCATTTTATATATACTACCAAAATAGATTCTGAATAAAATTCTTAATCTGAAACTAGACTTGTGGTATATTCTCAAGTATACTTCCTTTACCTCAGATTAAGGATAACACAAAATGAGTCTTTGAATTTCTATATCTTCAAAGATTTGTTCCAATATTTAAGGTGCATGGTTCATTCTGATACTTCGTTGTTGCAGAAAAAAAATGACCCTTTTACTTAAAGAAAAAGTTAGATTGCATTTATACTAATTGATTCTCTTCTATGATGCTTATATACATGTTTATGGTAAATACTTGACTTTGAGTTTATAGAATGAAGAAAATTAAATTCTACCGTGTGGAACAAATAAATCTAATGTTCCGAGAACATATGACATCATGTGAATTTTTGCATTTACCAACTGTTGATTTAACCAATTATAGCCTGCCTTTGGGAGATAGAGTTTGAACAGAATATTGATATTTCAGTATGCTTAAAATAATCCATATTTATATATGCTTAGATAAAATACTAAGTCATTCTTACATCGTCTTAATGAAATTTTACAAGGCTCTTTTTATGCTTTAGAAAGAGGAATTGTGGTATAACAACTGGACTCAACAAGTGGCAATAGAATGAATTCAGAATACTAAAACTAAATTCTAGGTACCCTGGCATTTAAAAGATGTGTGCATTAAGTTTTTTCTGAACTTTTAAAATAAGTAAAATTTCGACCACACTTTATGTAAAATTCTCCTAAGCTCAAGACTTCTAAATTTAACTACATTTATAATTATTTCCTTTCCAGTCTAATCTAGTTCCTTGGCTTAGTTTTGAATATATCCATCATCCGATCATTCATTGTTACTTGGATATAGTAAGATAGAAGGGGCCCCCAAATAATAAGTCCTTAGCATTTAAAAATCTTACCTGTAAAAAAAAAAAAATCTTACCTGTATTCCTGATATGCAAAGAGAGAAAGAAAAATACATATCTGTTATCTATATATATGTATATCTATGTAAATATTTATATCTATATATATTTGGGTGAGGGGGTGTGTGGGTTTATAGGTATGTGTATATTTGTTCAAATGTTATGGGTACTTAGAGCCTAAGTTTATTTACTTATTTTTAAGTAAAGCATTAGAGGATTTCTAGGGCAATGAGACAATAATATTTTCTCCATTTTTTCTGCTTTTCTCTGCATCAGGAAATTCATAAACTTTTATAAAAAGGGAAATTTGAGACCGTATTGATATCAGATATATAAGGAGATGATTTCACTTCTAACATGTGAAATCCCCAGTGATAGAAAATTCTAAGGTTTAGATTTTAGATGTAAAAACACGCATTGATTATTGTCATGTGAGATCTCAGCCACCCTTCACCTCCTGAGAGAATGTTAGGAAGCAAGAATGACTGGGTGAGAAAGGGAGTAGGTGAGCACAGAGCATGGCCTAAGCATATAAATATGAGATCAGTACCTAGTATGAAACAGAGAATGAGAGATGAGTTGAGTGAAGACAGAAATTTATACACAGATACGGCACATGTTCTACAGGTATTTTAAGCTGTATTTCTTGTGCACACTAATGTTTAACCCGTTAGGTGGATAGTGAAAAAAATTCTATGAAAAATTATAACCTGCTTAAAGTGCAGAATCAGGTGTTCTGTGGCACTTTTTAAGGACCACATATATTTACCTAACGTTGATACTGTATCCTCAGTCACAATTACCTGTGGTAACCACTGGTGTTGTAGACATAGGCCAAGGGAAAAATTGTGCTTCAGAAGTTCAGTCTTACCTCACCATTATAAGAACTTGTAGAGCCATAAAACAAAGTATTTATAGATACTTTTTTAAAAAATCATGTTTTCTTTGATCAACAACAAAATGAAAGTACAAATATAGAGGGATTGACTAGAGCACAAAAGTAGGAAATATGGATTTTGATTCTGCCTTGGTTCCCAATTTTTTATGTTATTTAGTAGAACTTTATTTTCTACATCAAAAAGAAGTATACTCATAATGATTTCCTCACTAGGATTCTGTGAAATTGAAAAGATGGTGTGTACATTTCTCTGGAAATGCAATACATATATAATTGAGCATAATTATTGATATTAATAAATAATAGTGTTAATGTCTTCTACATAGTCCTTTACCTGAATTTTTTTGCATCTAGCTTTTCCTTTAAATATGAAAATAAACAGTAAATTAGACATGAAAATATATAGCTAAATTAATTAATTAAATGCTGAGAATATATTAATAAGTTAATGTGTACAAATGAAGTATAAAATTTCATTTGTGAAGGTTTGAGGTCTTTAGAATATTTTGTTTTAGTAGGGATAATAGTGGTATTATCAGAGTATATCACATGTTTGGTATACTACTATTTAACATAGTAGTGTATTATTATAATAGCACTGGATTTTTAACAGAAAAGATACAGATAGGTATAAATTCTGTTACTTCCAATTATAAAAATAATATGAAATCTTAGGAACAGTTTGTAAAATGATAAAGCACAACTATTATTGATATTATGTCACTACTAAACCATTTTCAAGAAATCAGAAGTAATAGAAATATTGAAGATACTAATCCTTATTCTCCCAGCAGAAGTTTTAACTTGATACACAACACTATAACACAACCATGTATTTAATGCTATCTAATTAAATAAATACAATAAATACATACATCTTATACAAATATTCATGTAATACAATCTGTTATTTTTTTCCAAATTAACTGCACTATAGAGCTTTCTTTTTACAAATATAATTTATGTCAAATTAAATTACAGTTTCTAAGTATTAAAAAGTTACTAATTTATCATTGGTGCGTTTTTGAATTAAGACAAATTATAAATAAATAAATGACACTTATACATGGCATGCGAGTTGTGAGTTGAATCCTGGTTTTCCAATGTATCAAGTAGTTCTTTTTTAAAAAAAGAAGTGTTTTACAAGTTTGAATTTATCTTGGAATTTTTCATTTTGTTATAAAGTATAAAACCTAAGACAATAATAAATGGGGCTCACTATTGATGCCAAAATATATAATTTATCATGGCTTCAGAAACAGTCAAGTGGTACAGTATAAAACCCACCAAGGGGACACATCTTACATCAATGCTGAAGATGTTTTTCTTATCCTCTATAATTACCTTAAAAATAGCATTTGTTTTTTTTAATTTATCATAGAAGCCAAACTAATTCTTCCAGAGACTAAACATAAATGAAATGCCAATATAAATCTTAGCTGCTTAATCTTTAAATAAATGAATAAAAATCACCATGGATTTATGTTTTGAAATAGGCTTATTTCTCTTTCTACACTTAGGAATTTTCTCATTATATTTCTAAATCTTTAACATAGCTGATAAAATGCTATTAGTTATCTAAGCATTCTATTAATTGTAGATTATTATAAGCCAAGGATGTAGCAAAACACTTAAAATACAAAACAATTTACATACAGGAGTGGGTCCAAGGTAAGCAAAATATTTCAATGTAATTACTAAACAATATGATAGTAATATGGACAAAGAATGGGAGAGGGGAGCATGACGCTTTTACCTCTAAGAGATTTTACCTCTGGCTAAGAGATTCGGGCTTCCCTGGTGGCTCAAAGAGGAAAGAATCTGCCAGCAATGCAGGAGACCTGAATTTGATCCCTGGGTTGGGATGATCACCTGGAGGGGAGCGTATGACAACCCACTCCAGTGTTCTTGCTTGGAGAATCCTGATGCACAGAGGAACCTCGCAGGCTACATAGCATCCATGGGATCGCAAAGAGTCAGACATGACTGAGTGACTAGGTACAGCACAAGAGATTTGAAGAATTCATCAGAGAATTGATGTTTGAGGAATTTAAGAATCCCGATTTTATCTTAATATCAATGAATTTCCCCCAAGAGTTCTTTAAAGAGCTGGTTGTTGTTAGTAATATGTGAAAAATGATGTTATGTATTTTAGAAAACAGAAGGTAGATTTGAAAGTCATTTCTAAGACTAAATGACAGGATACATGATTACTAGATATGAAACATGAAGCAGAATGAATAGTAAAGAATCATTTGAATAACTCTATCTTGGACAAAGTTAGTGTTATTGAACTAATTAAATTGTGGGCTGGCCTGAAAAAAGTGATAATGAATTTGATGTTGGATATGTGGAATTTTGGACGCTATAAGACATTCAAAGGAAGCAGTGGGACATGTGAGGTTTGAGTACAGAAAGAATTAGGATCTAGAAATGCATTATCTGATATAGTCACAGGTTGATATAAATTAAATTAAAATAAATCATATTGGATTAGGGTTTTGTTTTTTCCATTTTATTAACCACAATTCTCA